TGCATGGGCAGCAGGCCCCACTCAATGCCAGGGGGCATGGCAGCAGGCACAGAAGAGGAAGGGGCATGGGTGGAGGTCAGATATAGAGAGACCCAGAGAACTGGACCAGAAGGAATGAGGGGGTGGATTCATTAGGACATAGGGAGACACCTGTGAAAAGCAGGCAAGTAAGCAGGATTGGACAGAACCTGGCTAGTCTCCTGTGGTATGAGGCGCCTGTAAGAAATAATTAACCCGTGGGACTCCCTGCAACTAGATATTTGCAGGGTTAGCCCGTAGGACTCCCTGCAACTGGGGATTAGCATGGTTAACCCACAGGGCTTCCTTGCCACTGGATAGTTGCAGGGTTAACCTGTGGAACTCCCTGCAACTGGATATTTGCAGGGTTAGCCCATGGGACTCCCTGTCACTGGGGATTAGCACGGTTAACCCACAGGGCTCCCTTGCCACTGGAGAGTTGCAGAGTTAACCTGTGGAACTCCCTGCCACTAGATATTATCAGCGTTAACCCAGAGGAATGCCAGTCACTAAATATTAGAAGGCTTAACCCACGGGACTCCCTGCCACTGGGGTTTAGTTGTGTTAACCCCTGGGACGGGCTGCTGCAGGGTGGGCTCGTCGGCAGCTCCAGGGCTGCGGGAACCGAGCTAAAGCCTGGTCTCTCCTGCAGGAAAGAGGAAGAAGAGGGTCCCTCGATCTATGACAACGAAGGCAACGGGGAGCAGAGGCCGTCCCTCAAGGGGGGGAAGGCGAGCAAGGCGAAGAAGGATGAGCAGTTCAACCTATACAGCAAGGCAAAGGCGGGGGGAGAGGTGGGAAAGGCCAGGGCCACACACTTCCCCTGACGTCGTCCTGGGCTAAGCTGGGAGGGTCCTGGTTGCTCCCTGGATGGGAGACCTGCAGGGTGGAGGCTCTCCCCTGGCAGTCAGGGTTGGCCCCGGTGCCCCAGGGCGGCACTAGGGGGCGCCGTGCTGCAGTTATTAGCATTGGTCAGAGCACCCGAGTGCTGAGTAACCAGACGTCTCCTCTGTTTGTCAGACCGAGGGGGGCAGGATGTGGACCCCGGCGTCCTGGCCAGATTCCCAGATAGTTAATTACATTTGCCTCCCTAAAATCCATTCTGTCGCCATAGATACATTAGTCTTTGTTTCCTGCCCCCGGCTGCATCTCGGCCCTGGGCGAGCCGTCCCTATGCAGCGTTGTGTGCGGCTGTTCCCCATCTGCTCCGCCCCAGCGGTGGCTGCATCTCAGCGACCTCTGGGTGAGTCAATCCTTCCTCTTTGCATCCTCAGGAGCTGGGCATTGATGACTACGAGGCCATGGAGCGAGTGGAAGACTATGAGAATTTAGCAGCAGAAGGAGCCGGACATTATGGGAACGTTGGCACTTGGCAGCCGCATTTGCTGTCTGAGCAGATCTACTCCAACGTCTAACCCTAGAGCGGGAGCGGACGGGCCGGAAATGCTTCTAAATATCTCTTCTATTTAAACCA